TTACATTGGCTCACCCAGGGCTTTTTTTTCAGAGAATGGGTGCAAGAATGCTCCACCTTTTGAGTCACCCCTTCTCTTCTCCTCATACCCACCTCCAAGCACCTTCCCTTGGTTTCATCCCCCCTACTCATCTCCGTCCCTTGGTTCCATCCCCCCTACTCATCTCCGTCCCTTGGTTCCATCCCCCCTACTCATCTCCGTCACTTGGTTCCATCCCCCCTACTCATCTCCGTCCCTTGGTTCCATCCCCCTTACTCATCTCCGTCCCTTGGTTCTATCCCCCTTACTCAACTCCGTCCCTTGGTTCCATCCCTCTTACTCATATCCCTCCCTTGGTTCCATCCCCCTTACTCATCTCGGTCCCTTGGTTCCATCCCCCTTACTCATCTCCATCCCTTGGTTCCATCCCCCTTACTCATCTCCATCCCTTGGTTCCATCCCCCTTACTCAACTCCGTCCCTTGGTTCCATCCCCCTTACTCATCTCCGTCCCTTGGTTCCATCCCCCTTACTCATCTCCGTCCCTTGGTACCATCCCCCTTACTCATCTCTGTCCCTTGGTACCATCCCCCTTACTCATCTCTGTCCCTTGGTTACATCCCTCTTACTCATTTCCGTCCCTTGGTTCCATCCCCCTTACTCATCTCCGTCCCTTGGTTCCATCCCCCTTACTCATCTCCGTCCCTTGGTTCCATCCCCCTTACTCATCTCCGTCCCTTGGTTCCATCCCCCTTACTCATCTCCGTCCCTTGGTTCCATCCCCCCTACTCACCTCCCAGTACTGCCCATTTTAGAGAATATTGAACCAAGTATCATTTTGTGGTGCTAAGTAATTTGTATTTGTGTTAATGATAACAAGAAAAGCAGTAAAATACAGTAGATCCCCTGCAGACATCAACAATTGAGCCCCCACACAACAATAAACCCCCCAGCAACAATGTACTCCACACAACAAAATACTACCCCAGTAACCATAGACCCCCAGCAGCAACAACAGCATCAATAGGCCCTCCAGCAGCATGCAACAGTACACTCCTCCTTCAACAAGAGATCCCTTCCACCAACATAATATCCCCCCAGCAACAACAGACCCCCATGCTAAAATATATTCGCTTGTTCTGCTTTTGGTGCTTCCCTCTTTGCACACCTAGGTCCTAATTGAGCAAAAAAGCTGACATCTGGCCACCACTCCTGGAACAGATCCTTAAGGAGAACCATTCCTTCTACACTGTCTAAGATGTGACCTCTTGCTTTAACCACTTCCAGTCCGGACACTTTCACCCCCTTCCAGTCCGGGCACTTTCCCCCCTTCCAGTCCGGACACTTTCACCCTCTTCCAGTCCGGGCACTTTCCCTCCCCCCCCTTCCTGTCCGGACACTTTCCCTCCCTTCCAGTCCGGACACTTTCCCCCCTTCCTGTCCGGACACTTTCACCCCCTTCCAGTCCGGACACTTTCCCTCCCTTCCAGTCCGGACACTTTCCCTCCCTTCCAGTCCGGACACTTTCCCCCCTTCCTGTCCGGACACTTTCACCTCCTTCCAGTCCGGACACTTTCACCCCCTTCCAGTCCGGACACTTTCCCTCCCTTCCAGTCCGGACACTTTCCCTCCCTTCCAGTCCGGACACTTTCCCCCCTTCCTGTCCGGACACTTTCCCTCCCTTCCAGTCCGGACACTTTCACCTCCTTCCAGTCTGGACACTTTCACCCCGTTCCAGTCCGGACACTTTCACCCCCTTCCAGTCCGGACGCTTTCACCCCCTTCCAGTCCGGGTGCTTTCACCCCCCTTCCAGTCCGGGCGCTTTCACCCCCTTCCAGTCCGGACACTTTCACCCCCTTCCAGTCCGGACACTTTCACCCCCCTTTCAGTCCGGACACTTTCACCCCCCTTCCAGTCCGGACACTTTCCCCCCCTTCCAGTCCGGACACTTTCCCCCCCTTCCAGTCCGGACACTTTCCCCCCCTTCCTGTCCGGACACTTTCCCCCCTTCCTGTCCGGACACTTTCACCCCCTTCCAGTCCGGACACTTTCACCCCCTTCTAGTCTGGACACTTTCCCCCCCTTCCAGTCCGGACACTTTCACCCCCTTCCAGTCCGGACACTTTCGCTCCCTTCCAGTCCGGACACTTTCCCTCCCTTCCAGTCCAGACACTTTCACCCCCTTCCAGTACGGACACTTTCACCCCCTTCCAGTCCGGACACTTCCCCCCCCCCCCCTTCCAGTCTGGACACTTTCCCTCCCCTTCCAGTCCGGACACTTTCACCCCCTTCCAGTCCGGACACTTTCACCCCCTTCCAGTCTGGACACTTTCACCCCCTTCCAGTCCGGACACTTTCCCCCCCCTTCCAGTCCGGACACTTTCACCCCCTTCCAGTCCGGACACTTTCCCCCCCTTCCTGTCCGGACACTTTCACCCCCTACCTGTCCGGACACTTTCCCCCCCTTCCTGTCCGGACACTTTCACCCCCTACCTGTCCAGACACTTTCACCCCCTTCCAGTCCGGACACTTTCCCCCCCCTTCCAGTCCGAACACTTTCACCCCCTTCCAGTCCGGACACTTTCCCCCCCTTCCTGTCCGGACACTTTCACCCCCTACCTGTCCGGACACTTTCCCCCCCTTCCTGTCCGGACACTTTCACCCCCTACCTGTCCAGACACTTTCACCCCCTTCCAGTCCGGACACTTTCACCCCCTTCCAGTCTGGACACTTTCCCTCCCTTCCAGTCCGGACACTTTCACCCCCCTTCCAGACCGGACACTTTCACCCCCTTCCTGTCCAGGCCAATTTTCAGCTTTCAGCGCGGTCACACTTTGAATGACAATTGCGCGGTCATGCAACACTGTACCCATGTGAATTGTTTAGCATTTTTTTGAGACAGATAAAACTTTATTTTGGTGGTATTTATTCACCACTGGGATTTTTATTTTGTTTGCTATATAAATGTAAAAGTCCAAACATTTTTAAAAAAGTGTTTTTCTTATACAATTTTACAAATAAATAATCTTTCATCATAATTCTTGGCCAAAATGTATTCACTTATCTTTTTAGTAAAAAAAAAAAAAAAAACAAACAAAACAAAATTAGTTTATAACCAAAAATTATAATTTTTCTAAATTCTGTTTTACATTTTTATTTTATTTTTTTATAATATTATTTTTTATGGGTTTTTTTTAACATACTGTCACCCTAGCAGTACAATGTTACCATAGTAACACTGTACTACATGTGGGGGTGATGAAGATTTTTTTTTTTTTTTACACTGATTGCTTTTATACCCATAAAGGCTGTAAAAGCAATCATTTCTCCTTCTCTCTTGCTGCATTCTTGCAGCCATTGAAAAATACAGTGTGAGCTGTGATTGGTCACAGCTTGTCACATGGTACAAGGCTGTTGTGAATAGCCCTGTACCATGTGACCTCTGTGCAGGGGCGGACTGCCCATTTGGAAACTCAGGCACTGCTCGAGTGCCCGGGGTCAGTAGGGGGCCCCATGAGATGCCCCTGGTACCTTTTTCATAGGCTTTTTTTTTGAGTTTGGGCAAGGACACAGGAGCCTCATGATCCCCTATTGCCCAGGGGCCCCATGAGTTGTCAATCCGCCCCTGCCTCTGTGATCATTCACAGATTCCACAAGCAGTAAGCAATGATGTCAGATGTGACATCTTGCATACTACACTTCATGTGATCGCTGATTGGCCAATCAATGATCTGGACACAGCGGGCTCCCAGGGAGCACGCACAGGCAGGGAAGCGGGGAGGACGTTTTCAAATGGCTACCCACTCCTGCACTGCTCCCGTCCGGCCAGGGGCAGACTGACCATTTAGAAACTCGGGCACTGACCGAGGGCCCGGGGTCAGTAAGGTACCTTTTTCATAGGCTTTTTTGAGTTTGGGCAAGGACACAGGGGCCCCATGATCCCCTATAGCCCGGGGGCCCCATGAGTTGTCAGTCCGCCCCTGCATCCGGCCATTTATATACATGGGCTGGATGGGAAGTGGTTAAGAAGCCCATTGCTCCACACTTTTTTTTCTCCTTCCAGCAATGAAAAGTGTGACTGAGAGTCTTACCCTCCCCCATCTATCCCCCCCCAAAAAAAAAGTTTTCCCCAGAGGTATGCTAAGGTATATTAATTCTCTGGCACTACAGGCGTCGGTTCTTCTTCCCAACAAATCAAGATTTCTTATGCTTGCTCAATCACTCAATAAAAAATTTAGCGGCTTCACCTCTAGAGAAAGGGCACGCCACCGCAAACAGTGAAGCAAACACCACCGCACGCCAGGATAATTCTTCAGCCGAATATATTACGTTCTTGAGGAGTGAAAAAAAAAAAAATTGCGAGGGAGAAGCATTATTTTCACCCAACCATGAAATTAACATTTAATTAAGCCAAAATGGAATCTGAATTTCATTTTATTCCTATTAACTGAATAGGGTGCTTCATTATTCTTGTATGCATCTACAAAAGAGTAGTTGAACCAGGTTCATAAATCCTGCTATAAGGGCGTAATTATTTAGTTCCCCAACTCAATATGACCATTTCTCACGCAGATAATTCTTGAAGCAGAAATTGATGGCCTCCCACTTATCATCGCAATTACAGTTTGGAGCCAAGCAGTATTCGCTGCCAAAAAAACCCAACAGATCTTTAAGTTCACACCAGCCAAACAGGTCTACATCAATAAACAACTCTTCATTATTTAAAATGTATCCAAACCCAAAAACAAAAGTTGACTATATTTCAGCTTACCAGGCTTTGGATGTTGTAGTTGTATTAGTTTCCCTTTTTTTAGGACTTATTTTCCATTTATTTTTACCTGGTGATCCTGCCAATCCTGCCACTCACTGTCCCAGTTGGGTTTCTCAACTAGGTTCCTCCAGAGGTTGCTCGGGGTTCCTTGAGCAATGAGTAATATCCGCCTCTCAGATAGGTTCCCCGCTGAAACCATTGATGATTCTGGCTATCTATAAGGAGAGTAGTTCTTATTAATGACCACAAGTGTAAGGAACATTCTTCCCACTGATCACCAATGTAAGGAGCATTCTTCCCACTGATCACCAATGTAAGGGACATTCTTCCCACTGACCACCAATGTAAGGGACATTCTTACCACTGATCATCAATGTAAGGGACATTCTTCCCACTGACCACCGATGTAAGGGACATTCTTCCCACTGACCACCAATGTAAGGAGCATTCTTCCCACTGATCCCCAATGTAAGGGGCATTCTTCCCACTGATCCCCAATGTAAGGGACATTCTTCCCACTGACCACCGATGTAAGGAGCATTCTTCCCACTGATCACCGATGTAAGGAGCATTCTTCCCACTGATCCCCAATGTAAGGGGCATTCTTCCCACTGATCCCCAATGTAAGGGACATTCTTCCCACTGATCCCCAATGTAAGGGACATTCTTCCCACTGATCCCCGATGTAAGGAACATTCTTCCCACTGACCACCAATGTAACAGACATTATTTCCACTGATCACCAATGTAAGGGACATTCTTCCCACTGACCCCCGATGTAAGGAACATTCTTCCCACTGACCCCCAATGTAAGGGACATTCTTCCCACTGATCCCCGATGTAAGGAACATTCTTCCCACTGACCCCCAATGTAAGGGACATTCTTCCCACTGATCATCAATGTAAGGAACATTCTCTTCCCACTGATCATCGATGTAAGGGGCATTCTTCCCACTGATCCCCAATGTAAGGGACATTCTTCCCACTGATCTCCAATGTAAGGGACATTCTTCTCACTGATCCCCAATGTAAGGGACATTCTTCCCACTGATCCCCAATGTAAGGGACATTCTTCCCACTGATCCCCGATGTAAGGGACATTCTTCCCACTGACCCCCTGATGTAAGGGACAACCTTCTCACTGACCCCCAATGTAAGGAGCATTCTTCCCACTGACCCCCTGATGTAAGGGACATTCTTCTCACTGACCCCCAATGTAAGGGACATTCTTCCCACTGATCACCAATGTATGGGACATTCTTCCCACTGATCCCCGATGTAAGGAACATTCCTCCCACTGACCCCCAATGTAAGGGACATTCTTCCCACTGATCATCAATGTAAGGGACATTCTTCCCACTGATCACCGATGTAAGGAGCTGTCAGGGATCACGGCGCCCTGTCGGCCGGCGCACGCGCACTGGCGACGGCTCACGCCGGGACACAGGCACCAGCTCCCGGCGAGCCACAGATGACAGGGCGCCGTGCATGCACAGTAGAAGCCGCGGGCGCGCCTCGGGGCGGCCAATGACAGCCCGGGGGCGCGTCCTGGGCGGCCAATGACAGTGCAGGGCGCGATATTTAAAGATGCCCTGCACTGTCACTGATCGCCGCAAGGGCTATCTGAGTTCCTGAGTCCTGTACCTGAGTTATTGACCCTGATTGACCCTGACTACACTGCCTTCTCCTGTATTTGACCCGGATTGTCCTGACTACTCTGCCTTCTCCTGTGTTTGACCCGGATTGTCCTGACTACTCTGCCTTCTCCCATCCTGACTCTCGGCTTGTTTGACCTATCTACGGACTGACTTATCCTGCTGACCCTGCGTGTGACCTGACGATTCTCCGCCTGCCGATTCTGTACCTCGCCTACCCCACGGGACCACTACTCGTGATCCATCCTGCTAGGTCCTGCCGGCCTCCTCACATCTGGCTCTCCCGGTACCTATACATCCCTGGAGGTTCCCTCTGCCACTGGTGGGCCTGCTCAGAGGTCGTGACCTGGTCCTGGTCTGTTTCAAGTCCATCCCCACCATCAGGGGCCCTGGTGAAAGCACAGACCGGGACTTAGACTCCACGCTTTGGGTAGGTCTGTCAAGTGGGCAGCCAGAGGCACCACCTGGCGGATCATAACAGGAGCATTCTTCCCACTGATCCCCAATGTAAGGGGATTTCTTCCCACTGATCCCCAATGTAAGGGGCTTTCTTCCCACTGATCCCCAATGTAAGGGGCATTCTTCCCACTGATCACCGATGTAAGGAGCATTCTTCCCACTGATCCCCAATGTAAGGGGCATTCTTCCCACTGATCACCAATGTAAGGAGCATTCTTCCCACTGACCCCCAATGTAAGTAACATTCTTCCCACTGATCACCAATGTAAGGAGCATTCTTCCCACTGATCACCAATGTAAGGAACATTCTCCCCACTGACCCCCAATGTAAGGAGTATTCTTCTCACTGACCCCCAATGTAAGGAGCATTCTTCCCACTGACCACCAATGTAAGGGACATTCTTCCCACTGACCCCCAATGTAAGGGACATTCTTCCCACTGATCACCAATGTAAGGGACATTCTTCCCACTGACCCCCAATGTAAGGGACATTCTTCCCACTGACCCCCAATGTAAGGGACATTCTTCCCACTGACCACCAATGTAAGGGACATTCTTCCCACTGATCACCAATGTAAGGGACATTCTTCCCACTGATCACCAATGTAAGGGACATTCTTCCCACTGACCCCCAATGTAAGGGACATTCTTCCCACTGACCCCCCAATGTAAGGGACATTCTTCCCACTGATCACCAATGTAAGGGACATTCTTCCCACTGATCACCAATGTAAGGGGCATTCTTCCCACTGATCATCACATGAATGTATCATGAGCTGTAGATTCAGGAATTTTTAGCAGGGGTTCTTCAAGACCAAAAAGTCATTTCATGGGTTCCTCTGTGTAGAAAAAGGTTGAGAAAGGCTGTTCTAGGGTAACAATGCTCACTCACTCTACAACTCAAGGTTGTTCTCCTGAATTCAACTGAAAAATCAAGACTGTTTGACTGAAAACACATCTCCCTCTCCTCATCTCCATTGTATAATGCAGGGGGACTTCAAACTAAGGTCTGCACTTGGCCCACTACAAGACTGTATCTAGCCCACAACTAGGGTTACCGGTCTATCGTCTGTGGGCATAGATTGAGGATTTAGACCCTAACACAAGCCTAGATCAAACCTTCATCTAAATATTTTTATTCTTTATTTTTTTATTTGATCTTTTTACACACTTTTGTTTGTTGACATTTTTCTCCCCTGCAAGGAGAGAAATATACAATGTATTATATAATATATCCTGTATATATTTACCACGTATTATATAATGGGTCCTGTATGTATACAATGTATTATATAATGGGTCCTGTATGTATACAATGTATTATATAATGGATCCTGTATGTATACAATGTGTTATATAATATATCCTTAATGTATACAATGTATAATGTAATGTATCCTTAATGTATACAATGTATAATGCAATGTATCCTGTACATTATGTATTCAATGTATTATATATTGTATCCTGTATGTATACTGTAATACAATGTATTATATAATGTATCCTGTATGTATACAATGTATTATAGAATGTATCCTGTATGTATACAATGTATTATATAATGGATCCTGTATGTATACAATGTATTATATAATGTATCCTGTATGTATACAATGTATTATATAATGTGTCCTGTATGTATACAATGTATTATATAATGGATCCTGTATGTATACAATGTATTATATAATGGATCCTGTATGTCTACAATGTATTATATAATGTATCCTGTATGTATACAATGTATTATATAAGGTATCCTGTATGTTACAATGTATTATATAAGGTATCCTGTATGTATACAATGTATTCTATAATGTGTCCTGTATGTATACAATGTATTATAGAATATATCCTGTATGTATACAATGAATTATATAATGTATCCTGTATGTATACAATGTATTATATAATGGATCCTGTATGTATACAATGTATTATATAATATATCCTGTATGTATACAATGTATTATAGAATGGATCCTGTATGTATACAATGTATTATAGAATGGATCCTGTATGTATACAATGTATTTATATAATGGATCCTGTATGTATACAATGTATTATATAATGGATCCTGTATGTATACAATGTATTTTATATAATATATCCTGTATGTATACAATGTATTATATAATGTGTCCTGTATGTATACAATGTATTATAGAATATATCCTGTATGTAATATACAATGAATTATATAATGTATCCTGTATGTATACAATGTATTATATAATGGATCCTGTATGTATACAATGTATTATATAATATATCCTGTATGTATACAATGTATTATAGAATGGATCCTGTATGTATACAATGTATAATATAATGTGTCCTGTATGTATACAATGTATTATAGAATGGATCCTGTATGTATACAATGTATTATATAATGGATCCTGTATGTATACAATGTATTATATAATGGATCCTGTATGTATACATTGTATTATATTTATATCCTGTATGTATACAATGTATTATATAATGTATCCTGTATGTATACAATGTATTATTTTTTTATCCTGTATGTATACAATGAATTATATAATGTATCCTGTATGTATTACAATGTATTATATAATATATCCTGTATGTATTTTTTTTATTATATAATGGATCCTGTATGTATACAATTTTATTATATAATATATCCTGTATATATACAATGTATTATATAATGGATCCTGTATGTATACAATGTATTATATAATATATCCTTTATGTATACAATTATTATATAATGGATCCTGTATGTATACAATGTATTATATAATCTTTTTATGTATACAATGTATTATTGAATGGATTTTTATGTATGCAATTTTTTTTATATTTTATATTTTTTTATTTTTACAATTTTTTTTTTTAATTTTTTTTTTTTTTTATGCAATTTTTTTTTATATCATTTTATTTTTTTTTTATGTTTTTTTTTTGTTTATATAATATTTTATTTATTTTTTTGTTTTTTTAGAATGGATCCTTTTTTTTATACAATGTATTTTTTAATTTTTCCTTATGTTTTTTTTATTATTTTTTTTTTTTTTTTTATACAATTTTTTTTTTTTTATTATTTTTTTTTTTTTTTTACATTTTATTATTTTTGGATTTTGTTTTTTTTTTTTT